GTGAGGGGCTGTATATTGTTTCTAGTACCTTCCTAGCCCTGCCCCCAAACAAGCAGCCAAGGTTTTGCACTCACTCAGTTCATTCTCAATCTCTACTGTGAGGTTGTTGGCATCCACAATGACTCTGTATTCAGGAGCAGCCTCTACAGGACCTAGAACTGGGGAGGGAAAAAGAAGTTAGTCAAAATCTATGAAGTGCAGGTGACTGTGAGGTGGGTTCAGAGGTGTCCAGGCTCTTGACTGAAGGGAAATGAGCTGCCTTAATGCAAGAATAGGATGTGATCTCAGTAGATTAAAAAATGTAAGGGAAGTGTTATATGTATTGCTGTTTTTTCACAGAAAAAAATTGAACTGAACAGTACCTTCAGATGCTTTTGGTTGCTTGCTGATGTATTCCTCAATCTTCAGCATGATTTCAGCAAACTGCACGAGAGAAAGAAAAAGACCTAAAATCACGCTTCCCTTCCATCTTGAACTTCAGAGTGTAAAACAATAACGGTAGGTTACAAAACATGTGGTGTTGAGGCCAAAATCAGTTTTGAAATCTAATCTTATTATTCAATTCAAAGCAATTTAAGGGACAATTCTTTAGTATCTTTCTAATTACTACTTTATTTCTGACTGTCTCTCCATCTGATCAAATTGGCATGGTCATAAAGATTCCTTCACAAGCATATTAAACTGATGAATCCTGTCCTATGTGAAAGATGTCCATTTCTCTTACCATTTTGCTATCCCACAGTTTGGCAATACTTTTGACTGAATCAGTTGCCAGATCCAATTGCATCTCTTCATGGACATCTTCAATGGGAGACTCATCCTCTTCATCTGCAAAACTGCCATCCTCTTCCTCTGCTGCCTCTTCAAGGTCAGCCAAAAGCTCATCTGCTAAAGACATGGTGGATCAAGGCTGAAAAGAGAAAACTGGATTAAAGAAGAAAGCCAAAACAGGGTTAATGAAAAAACTAAAGTAATTGAATTAAGATTCAGAGCCTTACTTATCAATCTTTTCTCTCATTACTGGGTTGGAAACAGTTCCAATCCCATATTTCTGCAACCAACCACCTTCCAAAAGTTAGGACTTCAGTTTCTAGATACCACTATAGGAATATAATCTTAAGACTTCTGTAAGGTTCAGCTACCATGTAATAATTATAACCCATGAAACTCTCTAGAAAGTCATACACTATCTTAGAACCCCAATAAGCACAACGATCCAGTTTGCTACGCTCTTCAATTCATTTCTCTTTCATTCTATCTCTCTGAAGGAATCTCCTCCTTACCACAGTTGCAACTCCTTTCCTATTGAATTCATTTCAGTCAAAAATTTCCAGATCTTATTAGCTCCTCCCAATATATGTCCTTTCTAATCTCTTCTTCAGTTTCTAACATAGAATCCTTCAGTCTTCCAGTACTCCAGCAAACCATGTTTCATACCAACGTTCATTCTTAGAAAACATGTGAACTTCCAGGCCTCCCCCCATCTAGTAAACCAATTCCAGTTTTCTGTGCCAGAATCATAACTCTTTTGCCCACATCCCTTCCCTTTTTCAACATTGCCAAGAGGCATCTCCCAAAGATTAAAGCTTCCATTCCTCCTTTCTATGGGGCATCTGTAGTGGGTGGGGAGGAATGGATATAATAATAATAATAATAATAATAATAATAATAATAATAATAATGCCACTCACAACAATCAAAGAAATTACAATAAAATCAATACAACAGAAAAAAAAATAAAGATAAAAAATGGCAAGCATGATGAAGTGAGGGGTCTCACTCTCCCTGACCAAAGTCCTGGCTGAAGAACCAGTTCTTCATGGCTCTTCTAAACAACAGCAGAGTGGGGGCCTTCTGGATCTTGTGGGGGGGGGGAACCTCACCATGATTACATCATGATGTGATACAAATTACATAATTCACAAAATTAATTTTTAATATCATGATACATAGCATCATTGCAATGTAGCTGTACACCAATATAACATGCAGTGTCACTGAGTCTTCTACAAGATGTCTATGCTCCTTTCCCAGAGTTAAAATTTAATGCTGATTCTAAGAACTCTTTCCCAACATCTTCATAAATAAAACATACAATTGAACACTTTGATTTTGAATTAAAAGTTTATACTATCTTATAAGGTAGCTTCAAGCAAAGTTTTATCACAGTGTCTTCATTTGGGACTAACGTTTTAAATTTGATACTTATTTAAGGCATTTTTACTATGAAAATTCACCTTGTAAGTTTCAGTCACTCACTATACAGTGGGGCAAAAAAGTATTTAGTCAGCCACCAATTGTGCAAGTTTTCCCACTTAAAAAAATGAGAGAGACCTGTAATTTTCATCATAAGTATACCTCAACTATGAGAGCCAAAATGGGAAAGAAAATCCAGAAAATCACATTGTCTGATTTTTAAAGAATTTATTTGCAAATCATGGTGGAAAATAAATATTTGGTCACGTCCCTGGCGGCATAGTGTGTTACTGATGGTAGCCTTTGTTACTTTGGTCCCAGCTCTCTGCAGGTCATTCACTAGGTCCCGTCCCTGGCGGCATAGTGTGTTACTGATGGTAGCCTTTGTTACTTTGGTCCCAGCTCTCTGCAGGTCATTCACTAGGTCCCGTCCCTGGCGGCATAGTGTGTTACTGATGGTAGCCTTTGTTACTTTGGTCCCAGCTCTCTGCAGGTCATTCACTAGGTCCCGTCCCTGGCGGCATAGTGTGTTACTGATGGTAGCCTTTGTTACTTTGGTCCCAGCTCTCTGCAGGTCATTCACTAGGTCCCGTCCCTGGCGGCATAGTGTGTTACTGATGGTAGCCTTTGTTACTTTGGTCCCAGCTCTCTGCAGGTCATTCACTAGGTCCCGTCCCTGGCGGCATAGTGTGTTACTGATGGTAGCCTTTGTTACTTTGGTCCCAGCTCTCTGCAGGTCATTCACTAGGTCCCGTTTTCACACACTGTTGCTGGTATTTTGGCCCATTCCTCCATGCAGATCTCCTCTAGAGCAGTGATGTTTTGGGGCTGTCGCTGGGCAACACGGACTTTCAACTCCCTCCAAAGGTTTCTCTCATTTTTTTAAGTGGGAAAACTTGCACAATTGGTGGCTGACTAAATACTTTTTTGCCCCACTGTATCTCAGCCCAATCTGCCCCACCAAATTGTTGCTATGGGGAAAAGTGAAAGAAGGAATGCTTTGTAAATTGGCTTGACTTTCTGAAAGAGATATAAATGAAATAAATGTTTACATCCAGGAGTTTCCATTTAAGGAAATGAGTGAAGAGGACAATAGAAAGCAAGAGCATTCAGAGATTAAATGTTAAATGGATCTTGTAATGATTGTGCATAGCCTATCCTGTGAAGTTTATGAAACTATTTAATACAGCAATTGTTACATACATAAAAAAGAACTACCACCATGAATGGAGTTGTGTGGTACATACCTGGTGGAAATAAAAGGAGTAATATAGGGATGCAATTATAAAACGGCGCCAAAAGAACTCACTGATTGGGTTCATACAACTTACTTCATCAGGTCAGTTCAAGACCTATCAGTTGTGTTTGTACAGCTTAGAAATTTGGTTAGCTTTTAATGTAACTTTATCTGTTGTGTTTATCACATGAGTTGACGTAACATGCAAACTCCCCAAATGAGTTGTTTCAGTAACCAAGTAAAGCGTGTTGTAAAAAATCCTACTGTGATATGTAAATGTGTAACATTGTTCTGCAGAACATAACAGGAAGAGTAAACAGGAATAATAATAAACAGAAAGAGTAAAAATAATAACAGCTCCAATGCAAGAAGATTGGGGCAGAGAGGGGATTGAGGTACACAAGGGCATATCCAGCAATCTCAAAATTATGACACACACAATGATCTCATTGTACAAATGCCACAATTACACAGAAGGCATGTAACACAAATTCCTAAATTGCAGCACCTGCATGACAGCACGAAGCACCTATCATGTTTCCCCACTCATACTGGACAATACTTACAGTGACCATATTTTCTTGGAAAAAATAAAGGACAAACTTGAAAAAGGGGCAAATCTG